AATACCACTTGAAATAATAATGATAATAACAATAATAATACAATGAAAAGAATACAGTAATTATATTTACAAAAAAATTATAACAATAGTTATAATAAAAATAATGACATAATAATAATGATAATCTTATAAACAATACTATTAATACAATAATAATAATAATAATAATAGAAATAATAATTATAATAATAATACTTATTATTGTTATTATTATTATTATTATTATTTCATAATTTAATAAAAATAAAATAATAAGAAAAAGAATAAAATAATAATTATAATAAAATAATGACAATAATAATAATATTAATAATAATCTTATAAACAATAATATTAATACAACAATAATAATAATAAAAGTAATAATAATAATGCTAATTATTATTATTATTATTACTATTATGTCATAATTTAATAAAAATAAAATAATAAGAATAAGGAAGAAGAAAAAGAATAAAATAATAATTATAATAAAATAATGATGACAATTATAGGAATACAGTAATTATTACAACAACAATCATAAAAATAATAATAATGATAATATAAATGCTACTACTAATAGTAATTATAATAATAATTATTATTAGTATTATTATACCTATACCTAATACATATTCATATTTTTCTAGTATTTCAGAAATAAACCCTGACGCCAAAATGGAATCAAACGTTTTTTTGAAAAGATGTTTTTATTCTCTCTCTCTCTCTCTCTCTCTCTCTCTCTCTCTCTCTCTCTCTCTCCCTCCCTCCTCTCTCCCCCCCCCTCCCCCCTCTCCTCTCTCTCTCCCCCCTCCCCCCCTCTCTCTCTCCCTCTCTCTCTCTCTCTCTCCCCCCCCCCCCTCTCTCCCTCCCCCTCTCTCCCTCCCCCTCTCTCCCCCCCTCTCTCTCAGTGTCTGTTCTGGTTCTGACCGGACTGAAGGTGATCAGAGCTCCGGATCGTTCACACAGCTTCTTCCTGACTAACACCACCTTCACACAGGTGTACTGCACAGGTAACTCTCCTTAAAGAAAGCTGTATGACTCTCTGTCGTCTGATTGGTCCTCCGGACTCCATCCTCTCTCCTCATTGGTCGGTTTGCAGGCCTTGGCCACCACACAAAGATGAGTTACCGTACGCTCCGCCCTGTGCAGCGCTTCTCTCAGTGGCTGAAAGGACAGGACGACCAATGGGCGCTGAGCAGGGCTCTGATTGGAGGATTCTTCATCTTCCCGCCTCCTCCTGTCTCCTTGGAAACGTTCATGAAAGAGCGGCGAGGTCAGCCGTGTGCACGTGTTCGCCTGTTTTCATTGGTTCACAGAAACCTCTTTAAGGTGTTCCTGTCTCTCTGCCGCACAGGTGAGCCGGGTTTCCTGCAAGGGGCGGAGCTTCAGGGAGAGATGGAGCGGCTCTGCTACCGAGAGCGCCGCTCCTTCTGTGTTCAGGCGGCTGTAACCATGGTTACGTACAGCCGAAGAGGGGAGGTGACTGATCAACAAACAAACAGAAAGTGTTTGTGTTCTTTATTGAAATACGAGCTGAAGTGTTTTTGTCTCTCAGGACCACCAGGCTTTGGTTTGGACAGAAGGAGCTCCGTCTCCCTGCACCTCCTCCTCCTCTCCTTCTCCTCGTCTTCATAGAGTCTCTCCTCACCCCTTCTCCTCCTTACCTTCTCCTCGTCTTCGTCAGGTTTCTCCTCACCCGTCCGCCTCCCCCGCCCCCTCCCTCTCTCTGTCCACCTCCTCCCTCCTCTCCGATCCCTCGACTCCTCGCTCCTTCAGACCGGTCCTCTCCTCCTCTCCTCTACCTTCTCCGTCTTCGTCCGTCTGTCCGCTGACGCCACGCTCTCTGGACCGCAGAACCTTCAGGTGAGTCTTCAGACCCACAGGAGCTCAGACCGGTCTAACCCTGACCCTCGATGAACCTTCAGTCTGTGTTTAAGCAGGAAGTCCTGGAAGAGGAAGCTGCTGCAGCCGAGCGACACGCCGAAGAAGAGGTGAACACCGATCAACAGAGGGTCCTCCAACCCTCTGTCTGTGTCCTCGAACCCTCTGTCTGTGTCCTCCAACCCTCTGTCTGTGTCCTCGAACCCTCTGTCTGTGTCCTCGAACCCTCCGTCTGTGTCCTCGAACCCTCCGTCTGTGTCCTCGAACCTTCTGTCTGTGTCCTCGAACCCTCTGTCTGTGTCCTCCAACCCTCCGTCTGTGTCCTCCAACCCTCTGTCTGTGTCCTCCAACCATCTGTCTGTGTCCTCGAACCCTCTGTCAGTGTCCTCGAACCCTCTGTCTGTGTCCTCTAACCTTCTGTCTGTGTCCTCTAACCTTCTGTCTGTGTCCTCGAACCCTCCGTCTGTGTCCTCGAACCCTCCGTCTGTGTCCTCCAACCCTCTGTCTGTGTCCTCGAACCCTCTGTCTGTGTCCTCGAACCTTCTGTCTGTGTCCTCGAACCCTCTGTCTGTGTCCTCGAACCCTCCGTCTGTGTCCTCGAACCTTCTGTCTGTGTCCTCCAACCCTCTGTCTGTGTCCTCCAACCCTCCGTCTGTGTCCTCCAACCCTCCGTCTGTGTCCTCCAACCATCTGTCTGTGTCCTCGAACCTTCTGTCTGTGTCCTCGAACCCTCTGTCTGTGTCCTCTAACCTTCTGTCTGTGTCCTCTAACCCTCTGTCTGTGTCCTCGAACCCTCTGTCTGTGTCCTCCAACCCTCTGTCTGTGTCCTCTAACCCTCTGTCTGTGTCCTCGAACCCTCTGTCTGTGTCCTCGAACCCTCTGTCTGTGTCCTCGAACCCTCTGTCTGTGTCCTCGATCCCTCTGTCTGTGTCCTCTAACCCTCTGTCTGTGTCCTCGAACCCTCTGTCTGTGTCCTCGAACCCTCTGTCTGTGTCCTCGAACCCTCCGTCTGTGTCCTCGAACCCTCCGTCTGTGTCCTCGAACCCTCTGTCTGTGTCCTTGAACCCTCTGTCTGTGTCCTCGAACCCTCTGTCTGTGTCCTCGAACCCTCTGTCTGTGTCCTCGAACCCTCTGTCTGTGTCCTCGAACCCTTCGTCAGTGTCCTCGAACCTTCTGTCTGTGTCCTCGAACCCTCCGTCTGTGTCCTCGAACCCTTCGTCTGTGTCCTCGAACCCTCTGTCAGTGTCCTCTACCCTTCTGTCTGTGTCCTCTAACCCTCCGTCTGTGTCCTCGAACCCTCCGTTTGTGTCCTCGAACCCTCCGTCTGTGTCCTCGAACCCTCTGTCTGTGTCCTTGAACCCTCTGTCTGTGTCCTCGAACCCTTCGTCAGCGTCCTCGAACCCTCTGTCTGTGTCCTCGAACCCTCTGTCTGTGTCCTCGAACCCTCTGTCTGTGTCCTCGAACCCTTCTTCAGTGTCCTCGAACCCTCTGTCTGTGTCCTCGAACCCTCTGTCTGTGTCCTCGAACCCTTCGTCAGCGTCCTCGAACCCTCGTCTGTGTCCTCGAACCCTCTGTCTGTGTCCTCTAACCCTCTGTCTGTGTCCTCGAACCCTCTGTCTGTGTCCTCTAACCCTCTGTCTGTGTCCTCGAACCCTCTGTCTGTGTCCTCGAACCCTCCGTCTGTGTCCTCGAACCCTCTGTCTGTGTCCTCTAACCTTCTGTCTGTGTCCTCGAACCCTTCGTCAGCGTCCTCAAACCCTCGTCTGTGTCCTCGATCCCTCTGTCTGTGTCCTCTAACCCTCTGTCTGTGTCCTCGAACCCTCTGTCTGTGTCCTCGAACCTTCTGTCTGTGTCCTCGAACCCTCCGTCTGTGTCCTCGAACCCTCCGTCTGTGTCCTCTAACCCTCTGTCTGTGTCCTCGAACCCTCTGTCAGTGTCCTCGAACTCTCTGTCTGTGTCCTCGAACCCTCTGTCTGTGTCCTTGAACCCTCTGTCTGTTTCCTCGAACCTTCCGTCTGTGTCCTCGAACCCTCTGTCTGTGTCCTCGAACCCTCTGTCTGTGTCCTCTAACCCTCTGTCTGTGTCCTCGAACCCTCTGTCTGTGTCCTCTAACCTTCTGTCTGTGTCCTCTAACCCTCTGTCTGTGTCCTCGAACCCTCTGTCTGTGTCCTCGAACCCTCTGTCTGTGTCCTCTAACCTTCTGTCTGTGTCCTTGAACCCTCTGTCTGTGTCCTCGAACCCTTCGTCAGCGTCCTCGAACCCTCGTCTGTGTCCTCGATCCCTCTGTCTGTGTCCTCTAACCCTCTGTCTGTGTCCTCGAACCCTCTGTCTGTGTCCTCGAACCCTCTGTCTGTGTCCTCGAACCCTCCGTCTGTGTCCTCGAACCCTCCGTCTGTGTCCTCTAACCCTCTGTCTGTGTCCTCTAACCCTCTGTCAGTGTCCTCGAACTCTCTGTCTGTGTCCTCGAACCCTCTGTCTGTGTCCTTGAACCCTCTGTCTGTGTCCTCGAACCTTCTGTCTGTGTCCTCGAACCCTCTGTCTGTGTCCTCGAACCCTCTGTCTGTGTCCTCGAACCCTTCGTCAGTGTCCTCGAACCTTCTGTCTGTGTCCTCGAACCCTCCGTCTGTGTCCTCGAACCCTTCGTCTGTGTCCTCGAACCCTCTGTCAGTGTCCTCTACCCTTCTGTCTGTGTCCTCTAACCCTCCGTCTGTGTCCTCGAACCCTCCGTTTGTGTCCTCGAACCCTCCGTCTGTGTCCTCGAACCCTCTGTCTGTGTCCTTGAACCCTCTGTCTGTGTCCTCGAACCCTTCGTCAGCGTCCTCGAACCCTCTGTCTGTGTCCTCGAACCCTCTGTCTGTGTCCTCGAACCCTCTGTCTGTGTCCTCGAACCCTTCTTCAGTGTCCTCGAACCCTCTGTCTGTGTCCTCGAACCCTCTGTCTGTGTCCTCGAACCCTCCGTCTGTGTCCTCGAACCCTCTGTCTGTGTCCTCTAACCCTTCTGTCTGTGTCCTCGAACCCTTCGTCAGCGTCCTCAAACCCTCGTCTGTGTCCTCGATCCCTCTGTCTGTGTCCTCTAACCCTCTGTCTGTGTCCTCGAACCCTCTGTCTGTGTCCTCGAACCTTCTGTCTGTGTCCTCGAACCCTCCGTCTGTGTCCTCGAACCCTCCGTCTGTGTCCTCTAACCCTCTGTCTGTGTCCTCTAACCCTCTGTCAGTGTCCTCGAACTCTCTGTCTGTGTCCTCGAACCCTCTGTCTGTGTCCTTGAACCCTCTGTCTGTTTCCTCGAACCTTCCGTCTGTGTCCTCGAACCCTCTGTCTGTGTCCTCGAACCCTCTGTCTGTGTCCGCTAACCCTCTGTCTGTGTCCTCGAACCCTCTGTCTGTGTCCTCTAACCTTCTGTCAGTGTCCTCTAACCCTCTGTCTGTGTCCTCGAACCCTCTGTCTGTGTCCTCGAACCCTCTGTCTGTGTCCTCTAACCCTCTGTCTGTGTCCTCGAACCCTCTGTCTGTGTCCTCGAACCTTCTGTCTGTGTCCTCGAACCCTCCGTCTGTGTCCTCGAACCCTCCGTCTGTGTCCTCTAACCCTCTGTCTGTGTCCTCTAACCCTCTGTCAGTGTCCTCGAACTCTCTGTCTGTGTCCTCGAACCCTCTGTCTGTGTCCTTGAACCCTCTGTCTGTGTCCTCGAACCTTCTGTCTGTGTCCTCGAACCCTCTGTCTGTGTCCTCGAACCCTCTGTCTGTGTCCTCGAACCCTTCGTCAGTGTCCTCGAACCTTCTGTCTGTGTCCTCGAACCCTCCGTCTGTGTCCTCGAACCCTTCGTCTGTGTCCTCGAACCCTCTGTCAGTGTCCTCTACCCTTCTGTCTGTGTCCTCTAACCCTCCGTCTGTGTCCTCGAACCCTCCGTTTGTGTCCTCGAACCCTCCGTCTGTGTCCTCGAACCCTCTGTCTGTGTCCTTGAACCCTCTGTCTGTGTCCTCGAACCCTTCGTCAGCGTCCTCGAACCCTCTGTCTGTGTCCTCGAACCCTCTGTCTGTGTCCTCTAACCCTCTGTCTGTGTCCTCGAACCCTTCTTCAGTGTCCTCGAACCCTCTGTCTGTGTCCTCGAACCCTCTGTCTGTGTCCTCGAACCCTCTGTCTGTGTCCTCGAACCCTTCGTCAGAGTCCTCGAACCCTCGTCTGTGTCCTCGAACCCTCTGTCTGTGTCCTCGAACCCTCTGTCTGTGTCCTCGAACCTTCTGTCTGTGTCCTCTAACCTTCTGTCTGTGTCCTCTAACCCTCTGTCTGTGTCCTCGAACCCTCTGTCTGTGTCCGCTAACCCTCCGTCTGTGTCCTCGAACCCTCCGTCTGTGTCCTCGAACCCTCTGTCTGTGTCCTCTAACCCTCCGTCTGTGTCCTCCAACCCTCTGTCTGTGTCCTCTAACCCTCCGTCTGTGTCCGCTAACCTTCTGTCTGTGTCCTCTCACTCTGAGCTCCTGAGGTCCTTTAGAGCTTCCCTTCAAAAACTGTCCCTTTAAAAACCTGTTTTCTCTCCTCTCCCTCTCTCTCTCTCTCTCTCTCTCTCTCTTTCTCTCTCTCTCTCTCTCTCTTCTCAGACATCCGAGGGTCACATTACAACCAGAACAGAAGAATAAGACAGGTGAGTGACAAAAAAAAACACACAAAAAAAATCACGAACAAAATCTCAAACAAAAACAAAAACACAAAAAAAACACAAAGACACAAAACAAAAACACAAAAACAGGCAAAGTTACAAACAAAAACCGAAAAAACATGAAACAAAATCACACAAAGTTACAAATGAAAACATAAAAACAAGTCACAAACTCATACAAAAAACACAAACACAAAAAACCCACAAAGAAAGATTCAAACAAAAACACAAACCCAGAACAAAAAAATTACAAACAAAACACAAAAAACCTACAAAGTTACAAACAAAAACCTAAAAAAACAAAAACACAAACACAAAAAAACACAAAGTAACAAACAAAAACACAAAAACAAGTCACAAACTTAACAAAAAACACAAAACAAAAACAAAAAAAACAAAAACACAAACTTAACAAAAAACACAACAAAAACAAAAAAACAAAAACACAAAACAAAAAAACAAAAACACAAAACAAAAACAAAAAAACAAAAACAAAAACTTAACAAAAAACACAACAAAAACAAAAAAACAAAAACACAAAACAAAAAAACAAAAACACAAAACAAAAAAAACACAAAACAAGTCACAAACTAAAAACAAAAAACACAAACAAAAACACAAAACAAAAAATCCACAAAGTAAATTTAAAAAAAAACACAAAAAACCTACAAACAAAAACACAAACCCAGAACAAAAAAAAACACAAAATCACAAACAATCACAAACACAAAGTAACAAACAAAAATCACAAAAACACAAAACAATAACACAAAACAAAAATGCAAACACAAAAACCCACAATGTCACAAACAAAAAACAAACAAAGTCACAAACCACAAACAAACCACAAAAAGAAAACAAAAACAAAAACACACGACAAAATCATGAAAACATGTTCAGTAAATTGACACAAAGCTGACTCAGCGCAGGTTCATACAGTTCTTAGTGGTCCCCAATAGGCTCAAAAACAGAAATGTGTGTGTGCGTGTGTGTGTGTGTGTGTGCAGAGATCACGTTCAACGCCTCCATGGAGTTCATGAACAACAACACTGATGAAGTTGAAGAGGAGGATGAGGACGGCGATGATGAAGACACCTTAGCCTTCATCACGGCCCCACCTCTCCCCGCCATCCCTCCGGTCGCCTTGGAGACACTGCCTATGCGTTATGACCACGCCCACAGGGAGGAGCAGGCTGCCGCCGTGTCATTGGGGGGGAACGTGGCGGCGGTGGCGAACTTTGACTCCCCCGTAGAAGCGTACTTCACCCTGAGACTGAGGAGTGAGTTTACCTGAGCCCCCGCCAAACAGGAAGTGATGTCAGAGTGTGACCACGCCCACTTAACTGTCTCTCTTCCCGCAGCTCTGTCAGACGGCACGCAGGTGGACGCCATCTTCCTCCCCCACTCCCCCTCCTCCCCTCTCTCTCCTCCCCTCCATCATCACTGCAACACCTGGAGCTCCATCCTGTCCCACGGAGCCTTCTCGCCACACGCACCGCCGCCTTCTCCAGGTAACGCACACACACATACACACACAAACACACACACTCACACACTCATGAAACTCACAGGAGGTTTTTTTTCTCTGTCTCAGCCGACCTCATCGCCATGGCGGCACAGTTAGCCAATCAGAGGCTGGTGTGTGTCCTGGAGGCGTGTCACCTGGGCGGAGTCAAAACCGAACTGATCCTGAGCCGAGCCTATCACCTGATATCCTGACACACACACACACACACACACACACACACACACACACACACACACACACAGAGCTCTAACCCTGTTGCCTGATGGGAAGTGTAGTCCTTAAACACAGACACAGCTGAACACACCCCAGTGACGTTGGGATTTGTAGTTTTTTCCCTCTTTCGATTGGACTACGTTTGAAGATCACCTCGTCAAGTTTGAAACTCTTCCGATCTTTGATTTTTGAAGTGACGATCGTTTCTGTTCGGACTCTCACTCGTCTTCTGTTCAAACCTCGAGGTCCAGAAAAAAAACTGTTTAAAGACGTTAAAGATGTTTGGACCTTCATCTCGTCCAGAACCTCAGAACCCTTTTGTTGTTGTGACTCTGAATTTGGGATGGTCTCTCTCAGAGTGTTCTGGTTCCTCTGACTGTTCCTCTCTCTCTCTCTCTCTCTCTCTCTCTCTCTGCTGGTTTATTTTATTCTTTTCTCTCGTTGTTTTTAAGTTTCCGACTAAGTTTCCGACTAAAACGTTTAAACATCTGGAAACTTTTTCAGCTCCTTCAGTTTTTTCACGTCTGTCTGTCCTGATCTGATGTTTTAATTTCATCTTATTTCCTGCTTTGAAACACTTAAAACACACTCGTCTTCCAGTCCAGGGTTCGAACAACGGTCAAACACGCCCACGCCTCCACCCTTCTCAGCTCCACCCTTTATCCAAATATGGTCACTTCATGACCCGACTAACCCCCAGCTTCCACCTTCATCCTGAACATCTACTAAAAGGTCGTATCCTCCGATCGTAGCTGATCGTAAGAGTTCGACATTCCACATTTCAACTGTTGTCAGAATCTGGTTTGGGATCATCTGAAGGTCTTCCCTGAAAGAATCTTTGTCTGGATGGACGCAGATGTTGCTCCTAAACCTGGAGATGTTGTCTAAAACTGAGGATGCAGCATCTATGATTTCCAACTCTTTGTTGAAAGGACAGTTGGACTGTCCTTCTTGGAAAGGACAGTCCTTTTCAAGAAGGAACTGTCCTTTCCAAAAGAGTGTTACCCCCAACTTCCACCTTCATCCTGATGGTCTCCTAAAAGGTCGTATCCTCCGATCGTAGCTGATCGTAACCATTCAAGTTAACGTGTTAATTTACACCGACTTCTTTCCGTTCCCATGCGGATCGCCGGACTCCTCAGCTGATCGTAAGAGTTCGACATTCCACATTTCAACTCTGTGTTTCAGGAGGATCGTATTTCACACCATGCAAACGGGCGGAGACGAACAAGTGAAAGGTTTTTAGACGTCATTTCACCCCGATGACACCATGGATGAGGAGATGCTGATTCTAGAAGTCTAGAAGTAGATTTCCTCCTCTGGAAGGACACAATCTACTGCTTATATGTCTATGTGTCTGTCTTTAGAGAGACGACTCGTTATCGTGTGATTGAACGTTAATCTGCGGGTTCTTGGGAGTTTTCGTGATTACTGCTGTTTGTAACCTGACAGGAAATTCGCCTCACAAACGGATCCGGTAGGAATTGGCGTACGGTAAAAATCGCCGCCGTTTGGGATCAGAGCCGTTCTGGATGCGGTGGAAATCCTGGATAAAACAAAGACCTAAAGAAAGGACCCTCAGGCGTCAAAGAGTCGGTGGACACGGTTTAATGGGGTCATGGTGGATCATGATCAGGATTACATTTCTCGTTCTCTCTCAGGAGAATCAGACAGGTTCTGGTCTCACTGTGGACCTGGTCCACACAGACCGGCCTGACGTTCGGTGGTTCAGTGTCTCTGGCGGACTCTGGACCGCTCAGCTCCTCATGGTGTGTCTCTGGCAGATGAAGCGCAGTTTGGACGTACAGTGGATGTCGTTGAGACGTCCGTCGTGGTGGAGGTGGGCGCAGTCCTCGTCTCCGGCGCCCATTCCATGGTGGGTCCAAGCGTCCGGCTGACCGGGCATCCAGCGTCTGAAAGAACAGAAGACCACCTGAGATTAAAAACCCAGACCTGCTGAGAGTCTGGAGTCCTGGTCCTTCAGTGTTTGAGGGACCTGGACTCCTGAGGACAGGGTTTGAGTTCAGGGTCGACTCAGAGGAAGAGGAAGAGGAAACCCCCTTATATGGTCGTGTGTCGTACTTCCTGTCAGGACGATCTAATTCTCTGATCGTCCAATCATGTTAATCAATTTAATCCAATCAGCCCACCTTCGGTTCATGATGTACGGCGTCTGGTTGACCCACTCCCACCGGTCGTCCCTCTCGTCCGTCAGACCCACCCAGTAGAAGGACCCCCTGCTGTGCTGGGTCACAAAGTCCTGAGACACAGGTGAGAGTGAGACTCACAATGAGGACGTCTAAAAAGACGGTCTGGGACAAAAACCAGAGAGTGTCTTCTCACCCACTCCTCGTCCGACAGCAGGATGACCAGGTGAGACTCGTGTCCCTCACACCAGTCTCTGGCCTCGTGCCAGGACAACGTCGTCCTACTGAAGAAATAACAGCTGGACTGGTACGTGTCCCAGTTCAGAGGACAGCAGCCAGCCGACAACGAACCTGGACACAGGTAAGGAGACACGTGAGGAAAGACAGAGACAGGTGAGCAGGGACAGGTGAGGTACTGTGTGTGTCTCCTGTCCCACAGTGAGGACAGTTCGTACCGTTGTTGAGGAGGCGTTCAAGCGAACATTTGAGGGACGTGACGGTCTTCGAGAGGGAGTCCAGAGCTGAGAGCTGCTTCAACGCCTCCGACACTGATGACCGCATGACCACACACACACACAGATACACACACACACACACACAGATACAGATACACACACACACACACACAGGATGTCATAAAGTAGCGAACATGTGACTCCGACATAATTAACCCTGTTCGTAAAACCTGATGATGATGTAAACAGGGGAGTTTAATCCTAATATGAGTTTAATCCTAATCTGAGTTTAATCCTAATCTGAGTTTAATCCCTGAGTTTAATAATCTGAGTTTAATCCTAATCTGAGTTTAATCCTTAATCTGATTTTATTCCTAATCTGATTTTAATCCTAATCTGAGTTTAATCCTTAATCTGAGTTTAATCCTTAATCTGAGTTAAATCCTTAATCTGAGTTTAATTCTAATCTGATTTTAATCCTAATCTGATTTTAATCCTTAATCTGAGTTAAATCCTTAATCTGAGTTTAATCCTAATCTGATTTTAATCCTAATCTGAGTTTAATCCTTAATCTGAGTTTAATCCTAATCTGATTTTAATCCTAATCTGAGTTTAATCCTTAATCTGAGTTTAATCCTTAATCCCTGATGTCACTTTGTCTGCTCACTGAGACCCAGACTGGTTCTGGTCCAGTCTGTTAACATGGGTCTCTATGGAGACGGACTCACTTTAGGACACAGACCCTGGTGGACACTGGAGGAACTGCAGGTTCTGATCAGGGACAGGTAGACTCACCTGAGGTCAGCTGGTCCCTGTTTCCTTCCACAGCAAATTTCATACGGTGAGTGTCTTTGGCTGTTTCTGGGACAGAGAGAGAGGGACAGAGAGGATGAGGGGTCTGTCCTCTGAATGGACAGGTGGACAGGGACACAGGTGGATAGGTGAGTTACCTTTGATCAGCTGATGTCCCGCATCCAGGGTCACAGTCAGGTTAGAGACCGTGGTCTCTACAGACCAGAGTCTGCTGCTGGTCCTGGAGCCTAAAGAGGGACAGGAGGACAGAGAGACAGAGGGACAGAGGTTTAGACCTGCAGCAGGAGAGTCTGAATGTGGACAGGAACCAAGTCCAGAAGTTCTGGGTCAGTATGTCAGAGGTAGAAAGTGGTTCTGTTTAGAGTTGATCCGGTTCTGTTCAGCAGTCAGTCTTTTGGTTCTTGACCACCTGGGGGCGCTCTCTCATTTTGGGGATGCATGTTCTGATTGGTGGAAAGGGTGTGATGTCATACTGCTGGCTGCAATATTATTTTTGTGGGATAGTAGGGGAAGGTCCCGCCTCCTTCGCCTCTGATTGGCTGTGAAACGTCATCACACGCTCGAACTCGAGCTGTCGGTTCCGAACATCCAACAGATGTCTGTGTGTGTGTGTGTGTGTTCCTGTGTGTGTGTGTGTGTGTGTTCTGTGTGTGTGTCTGTGTGTGTGTGTGTGTGTGTGTGTGTGTGTCTCACTGCTCGCTCCCAGCGCGATGATCAGGATCAGGATGATGGTCGCTGTCAGACCAGGAAACAACCAGGTCCTGTACCTGGAGACACCTGAGAGGTAGACAGGGGGGCGCTCTGAGAGACAGACAGGTAGAGAGAGA